GAAGCACTGTCTGACGCGTCTGCCTCCGCGACCCGAAAGGAGAAGCGGCAATGGAAGATGAAGATGAAGACGTTCTCCAGTCTCCAAAGCATCATATCATCTCCCGCTTAAAGAAATCGCGTACCATATTCAATTTCTACACTATCGTCTATAAAACAACTGATATGGCAGTGCTGTTTAGCGTTTTTGGAAAGACGAAGTTCAGAACTTGTTAGAAGACAGGTTTTGCATGATCAGCGGCTACTTATCCAACTGATTCAGCTTTTTAAATGGTAATGTTACACTGCGCCACGCAATGAAATATGGAAATACATTCAACACGTCCGATTATCTCCGGAACAGTGATATTTGATGCAGTTTACAAAGAAACCTATTATAATTTATGATTCGATGACTTTCGCAAAGGTTTGAACTCTAAAACTGAACGTGTTATTTTATTCAAATGACCAATGGCGGACGAATGAACGAATGTTTGTCGATCGAACAACATGAGAATAATTCTTTCTACCTCAGTAAATAAAAAAGAAACATTGTACCAATTGAATAAGAAATGAATAAGAATAATACTAGAACCAATAAAGTAAAAAATTATTGCCACGAATATGCAGCATTAGCCAGAATCGAACAAATGGAGGACGCCCACATGCAGTCACATTATATCATAAAATCAAAGCACCTTTTTTGCACTGATCTTAGTGAGCATTCCGACATCATAATTATTGCCATTAACTAACTTATTAATTTATGAAGCTTCATCTTTAACGAGGAAGAATAACACACAAATTTGCGAAAGCAATACTTGCCGATCGATATAGCGGCCGTCCTCGGCTTCTTTAAATCTAACAATATAAAAATTGTGCGCTTGACACGCACTTGCTAAAAAAAGAGGTTTTCGTATTGAGACACTTTCTGCCAACCTAAAGAGGAGTTAAATTGTTGGTTAGGTGAAATTGTTTACTAATGGCCATTAATAAATTTCAAGGTTATTTCGTCGCTGATTCGCAAGTTCCAATCTGTTCGTCTGTTCTATTTGACAGAATCAGTTGAAAATCTAGAGCATTTGAACTTGCAACTATAATAAGCCAGATAAAGTTCCCAAGAAAACAACACTGACAGTGAGAGCGTAGGGTGAGAAATTTTCCTCACGCAGATGGAAACAGCTGGAGCTAGTTGATGTAGCCGTAAGATACTGATTGGACCTAGCTGGACTCTCGACAACGAAGTGCCAGGGATCAAGAATTCTGAAAACTCCGGAGGATGCACTTTTACTGAGGTATTGACATCACCAATCGCGCCCAGACCGGTGTTACAGTGTCGTTAAATCCCCACCTGGCTGACAGTCTTACAGACAGCAGGCGAATGACGATCCTCTGAGCAAACTTATCACATCTAAAGTTTTGACCTTGTAACACGTCTGGATACTTGGAGGGAAAATAGCAATCTGAACAAAGTACTAGCTAGAAAATTTACCATTGTAATGGGCAATGGTAATTGATTGTCAGAAGAGACACTGAAAATACCTCGGAAGAACCACCCTGGTGACCTCCACAAAAACGGTGTGCGCTTTAATTTGTTTTTCACGAATACTGTTTTCGAAAATCGAAACGTGCACCCGCACATTTGAGACAGGGAAGCCTCTGCTAATCATATCGTCTGCCTTGCGACCCTCGGTAATGAATGCTTACGCTAAGAAAGTTGCAGATCTGTCTGTCAGTCATAACCATGCTGTTAGAATACTACGTTGCAAGCGATGGAGTACCAGAAGACAACTAGGAAGCGTAAGAAGCCGAAGAATCAAATGGCAAACATCATTCCCAACGTAAACAAACACGAAGCTTGTAAACAACGTCGCACGATGGAGTGAAGAAATCTCAATGATGACAGTCGAGAAGGAAACGGAGTCAAAATCCTCAAAGCAGTTGCCTGAAGAACCGACAAGTGATGCGGTTTAAAATAGATTGGTCTGTCACCTGATGAACAAAAACGTACTTGCTAACACACACATGCGAGAACTGCAGTCGTTTCGGCACGTCTTGCGATTGTCTCGAAGAACTCTGCTCTGAAACCTTGTTACTTTCTGTCGAAGCTCAAACCCTGGTGCAATATTGGGAGAATCAGAAACGTTGGCCAAAGCCTATGCTTCTGCAACAGGAACGGATACGCGGTCATCAAATCAGACTGACTTGAACCTGCTCTTGCGCAAGAGCTTTGCCACAATGCCGACCGCGCACTTTCGTTTCGCTGTTGATTTGTACTTAGCCCTTTATTTTCGTAAGGTGCAGAATTTTAGATTCATATTAATGAAGCGGTATACTTTTACTTTTCTACCAAATGATGTAGGATAACAGTAACTACCGTACGATTGTACAGAGCGAAACTCATGCCTAGAGGACAGCGGGATAACAGCGACTACCGATTTCCGCCAAACGGTCCATTCCGTTCCTGCAGATAGCTACGATCACGTCTGACCTTCGGGCATTCACATCAATTCCAATTCCTAGGAACTCGTTGCGCAACGGTTACAGATGTACCTTTAACTGATTTTACTGACCACAAAGAAATGGTCAATTAAATTTTCGGCTTTAAAAAAGGTATTGAAACTTTATTCAAATCAGCTGAGCAGCACTAAAGCAAAGACAAATCAAAGCGCATTCATCCAAACAAACACAACAAAATGAATTTCAACTTCTACATACTTCTTCAAACTTTAGAAAACAATGTTCGACTGGTGAAATCGACTGCGGAAGATAGAGCCAACGAGAACCTTTACTCGAACTCTTGCTTTTCACGCGCAAGCTTTTCCTTTAGTCTTTTCTCCCGGATCAACAGACGTCGCTCGCGCTCGTACTCCTTCATACGCAGATGAAAATCCTCGATCTGGCACAACTCGTTTTCCTCCTTCTTGTCATAGCAATAAAAGTTGGCCAACGGGAAATGCTCGGCGATGCATTTGCGGTAGTCGATCAGGGTGTGGGCGCAGTAGTCGCGCTCGTTGAACTTCAACTGCCATCGGACCATCTCCTCTTCCGTCGCTTTCATCTCTCGTTTCTTGCGGCCATGCGGAAAACCATACAGTGGATCGAACCGTGGCGGAAGGAACCGGTCCGGCAATATGTCTGGGTCTTTGTACCCTTCCCAGTCATATGACCAGGACGATCCCATTGAAACTAAATTTAATTTTAAAAAAAATTTTGTTAACTTTAGAGTTAAAATGACGAGCAAGAAGACCTTGAAAAGATAGAAGGCAATTACAAGATTCTGATGCGTATTTAATGAAATACCAGCAGTCTTTATAAATTCCTTTTTTAAACTAAAATTCATTCAATCAGTTTTGAAGGACGTTCTTCCTTTCGGGTCGTAGAGACAGGGGCGTACGCAGAAGATAATCCGAGACAGTCAGGAGCAGACTGTGGTGCGAGACTTGCCTAGGTGATTCTTGGTCATCACTGGGAATTACAGTAACTGCTTCGCCGACCCTTTTAGGAAGTATTCACGAAACTTGCCGAAGCCACTGCAGTTGTGGCTTTTCAATCTGTACACCAGGGCTCTCCCTTTCTCTCTAATATCTGTACTCCGGATTATAACAACACTCGTGAGTCCATCAATTCGACTAAGAAAGCCTATTTCAGTCGCTTGTATCTGGGATAGTAGCATTTCGGTCATGGGCCGCGACTCGTGACCACGATGCATAGGTGCTACTGTTCTTTTGGTTTTGTTTGCAAGGCATATTCGCGTGTTTAGCGGAGTCTGGTGACAATATCAACGTGTGAATGTAAAACTTACAAATTAAGTCTGTAAACCTTACAAAGGAAAATTTGCAATCCGCGACCCGAAAGGAAAAGACGTTACTGAAGATGAATGAAAGAATGAACGAATGGAAAGTCTGTAACAGTAGAACGTCCGTTTTCCCAATGCTTTCATGATAAATCCCTTCACAAAGTAACTGATGGGGGCGTTGATCTCCATCCCAATGCGATCAGTCAGGAGGATTGCTCTATTTTTCAAAGACTTTTACGACAGCAGCTACGTGACACGCAAAATGTGCAGTTGAATGTTCGCTCCGCACAGTGATACGTATTTATCAGCTATGGAGGAAAGAAAAGCCAATAAACCGACCGGCTCTAACGGAGAACCTTTAGGTTGTGTATTCAAAGCTCTACCAACTGAGAAACCTCGGTCATCATGAATCTGAAGGCCACTTGAAACTGAATCTTGAAAACATAAGAACTTTTCAACATGCGTAGAAGTAACTGGTATCTTCACGAATTCCCATATATTCAACAGCTACCAACGATCTAGCGATCTTCAATATGGCGCAAAGCATTAGCACGCATCGGTTCTAACAATTTCAAGTAATTTCCATAACCGTCGTGATCACTCCTACCACTGCATCAACACGAACAAGTACAAGTTGTGTATCTTCAAGACCAGAACATCACATCAAATGTCCGGTCCCTACTTCCAATCGGACGGATTCAGAGCAAGAATTTATTCGCGTCACTCATCAACATCAAGTAAATCTCATTGTCTTCGGGCGGGTCGACACAAATACTCCTATCCTTAGAGGTGGTTATCTCCGTGCTACAGGCCAAGCTACAACTCTGTCTAACACTTACAGAATGAACGAGGTCTTTCTGAAAGACTAACTACATGTTTTGACAAAAAGTCAAAACAGCTGATGTGCGCTCATAAAACCAGGGAAAATGCAATAGTACAAAAAAACAAATATGAAAACAAACTCTATAGCACAAGCAACAAAATTTATTCTTCAACTGCACAAAATACTTCCTTAATCGTACTAGTAGAAGTAGCTTCGGGAAACACACTAAAGAGATAGTCGGCTAATCCAAAATCATTTAACGTGTAGAGCAACCGCATAACCAAATTTAACCAAGAGCGAGCTAATATGATTTCTAAACTTTTGCACTTTACAACCTTTCAGTTGATACAAACGCCAGCATGGAAAAATACATGCTTTTTCAAAATACGGAAAAACCAGACCCAGGGAGTACAGTACACCTGCGCACAAAAATCAGGGATGTATGGAGTTCGTTATTGTGAATTTTACACAGAAAATTCACCAATTTAGCAACACGATCACAGTCCTACTTTTCTGCCCAACATCATCATCATCATCATCATCATCTTCCATCGCCGCTTCTCCTTTCGGGTCGCGGAGGCAGACGCGTCA